CAGGAATGGTGCAGGGGTGGGCAATTATATGGGCGATGGGCCACTTGGAGAGTTTTAGTGAGCTGTTGCGGGCCAGGTCAGCATCACCCCACTCCCTGCAACAGCTTACCAAACTCCCTAAGTGACCCTCCAGCCCAAATAATTGCCCAACCCTGGGTTAGGGGAACTTAATCTCTTAATCTCCCTTTTCTCTTAACCCCCTCTTCCACTTTGCTCATTTACAGATTTTCTAAGACCTCTGATGGTGATGATGGTACAGTACAATGTCATTATAGCAAATTCTACTTACAAGAAGTTCCCCATTTCTAGCATCCCAAGAGCAGGAATTGATTTTTATTTTCATTATTATGATGCAGCAAATCAACTAGACCTATTACAGCAAACATTCTCTATTAATGAACTTTTCCCCTAGTCCCACAGGGGTTCATCATAATGACTTTTACTGTATTTCCCCATCTAGAGAGTGTTGTTAGGATCAATACATTGAAGACTGTACACACAGATATGATAATCGGATAATGCATAAGTGTCTAGGATAGGAAAAAAGCAAAGATTATATTAATCAGTAATTAACTATATAAGTGCAGTTTTCTACAGAGAAAATTTTACAAATGGAAAGAAGTTACATTTAAATCTAAGTGGCTTTTTGTTAACACTTGGAGTTAAGACTCAAAGTGATTTTAAATTGAATTTTAAGTTGTTTAAAATGTTGAATTTTGTTTTAAATTCAAGCTGCACTCTTTCAGGGATCCCACCATTCTTCTCCAAGATAAACAGTAAGAAAAATGATACCTTGGCACTACACATTTTCAGAACAGCCTTTACCCCTCGTGGTGGGAATGTTTTTAATTTCCCTTAAATAAATTGTGAAAAGTTTTCAATTAGCAATAATCGCTCCTCGGATTAATCTCATTGACTATGATACAAATTTCTCAATACCAACTGCATCCAGTATACCTGATCATTCCAAACAATGATCTGGCCACTTTACTAAATGGGAAGAAAGAGAACTGGTTTCTCTGTTTCCTTTCCCTCATCTGAGGGGACACAAAAACTGGACACTGCCCTGTATCTACCTGTGACACACAGGTCTCTTTTTGTGGCTTCCAGCTAGTTCTCAGAATTGTTTGTTCCACTAAGCAAGTGAGCGGTTTTCAAAAGAAAATCACCTAACATTCACATGATATCCAGTAAACTAACTGACATCTATTTATTTCAAAACGAAACACAGCTTTCAGCATTAAAGCAACTAAATTTGAACTAAATGTGAAAGCTAACATAAAAGGAATCAGGTGTCCTTACTCCCATCAAGAATAAATGGCAGAAATGTTCCTATTTTAATGGTTGCAATCCAGAGCAAAAAAGGTTTGGGGACAGTTAAAATGGCAGAAACCTACTAACAGTGCACTGCTTTTTAAGAGAAAGATTCTATCCTTACTGATTGTTGCCAATTCAGGTGCTAGTAACACAGAAAGGGCAGGACTGCCATCTGTAACACCGATTTTCAGCTTTCTAACAGGTGCAACTTACACAAATTCTACCTTTTGCTCTGCATGCTATACTGAAGACTCTCATAACACACTTCATTGATCTTCTCCCAAAGGACACACTTTTCTTTAAAAATCACATCTAACGGAATCTGCAAAATTAAGAGTGGGTAATGGAGCTAACTCTAAAGCAAAAAGGGTTTTATCAAGAAGTCATTATGAGAGAAGAGACTTCTGGATTAATTTCAAGGATCTGCAACCCATTTACTGCACAATCTTGAATAAACCTCTTAACCTCTCTGAGCATCAGACCTTTCAACAGCATGGGGGGGGAGGGGAGAGGGGCGGAAAGAGAGGGATGGATTTGTTGGAAATCAGCTTTCTCTGCTTTTATTGTAATTTATATTACAAGCTCTTTGCCTAGGGACAGACATTACGCATAAACTGGTTTAAAGTGATCAGAAACTGATTTAAGCTTGTAACAGAACATAGGTTCTGTGCACATAAAACAGTTTCAAAATGGCCAAAACTGGTTTAAGATAAACCTGGTTGCATGTAGTATCAGACTTAACTGATTTGTGTCAAACCAGTTTATGCAATGTCTGTCCCAGACCCCTTCTTGGTTTAAGTTAAACCAGAGACCCCCAGCATCCCAGATGCTTTGCAGCCTTGGGCTGGGCTGTGCTCTGTACTCCAGAAAACAGGCCTGGCCTCACCCCTCTGCTCCCTAGCCAGAGTTCCAGAGACTGCAAGAACAGCAGGGTCTGCCTGGCTTCCCCCAGCCCTACCCCACCCCTTGGTGCTCAAGCAGGGATCCCCTCTCCCTCCCATCTCCCAGAGCACAGATCCCAGCCCCAGGTACCCTAGGCATGTGGTATGCTAGCTAATGCTGAGAGGTGTTTGTGTGCGGGTCTCCAATTTCACTGGGACAGGCAGACAGAACAGTGTCAGAGTCCACTTAGGGCTTTTTGGAGCTAATCAACAAGTCAGTTGGTAATGTCCCTCTGGTTCCTTCTTTGGAAAAAGCTGTTTAAGAAGAGCTTGAACTAATGAGACACCTTTGTTTTGTTGATGGGTTGATAAACGGTGTGTTATCAGCCCCCTGCTGGCTTCCTCACCTCTCAGGTTTGCAGACAGTATGAAGAAGCAGGGAGAGGGAGATTATAAAGCTCAGTATGATCAGCAGATGTACACACTGCGTGCCCCACTTTGCCTCAGAGTGCTAGCCCAGGGCTGGGGTCTAGCAACACTCCCACCCCTTGAGCAGCAAGTAGGGAAAAGCCTGGGACAGTGCAGGGAGAATGGGGATCTACACCCCTCCCTAATCAGAGCATCCTGCCAGGGCATGGCCGCCATTCCCCCCCCCCCCCCGCCCACAAGCAGGGAGGCCAGCTCAGCAGTATGGAAGGGAAGGGAGGGCTGCTTTGGCACCCGCCAGCTTCTAAATTGTGCCACTGCAAGCATGTGTCTGAATTTCTTCACTCCACAGGGAATGTATGTACAGTTGCAAACTGGTTCAGCCACGGCAGGTTAGAGTAACCTGCAAAGATTGAATCAATTCAGGCTCAGGCTTTCTGAATGTCTGTTCCTAGCCTTTGAGACAGGGAACTATCTATACATGCTAGGTGGTGCTGTATGCACAGCATGGCATCAATCAGTTTAGTCAGAGGTAGGCTGGTGAGTGGGCACTAGGACCCAGCTGCCTCTGTCGCTTTTCACCCATGTTGGGAATAGTGCCTACCACCAGCATGAGGAAAAGTGCCAGCCACTGATGCTTTTTCCTGCACCCACTGGAGAAAAGAGGTGGCAACAGGTACTTTCTCTCTGCTGGCAGCAAGCCCTTTCCTCATGCTGGTGCAGGAAAAAGCACCCACTGCTGGAATGAGAAAGAAGTGCCTGCAATTGGTGCTTTCCCTTGTGCTATGGGGAAAGTGACTGGTGCTGAGCCCCCATGTCCATGAACTGGATCAAAAGGCTTTGTCACAGATTGCTGATCCCTGGGTTAGAGCGCTTTCAGAAGCATACCCTGCCCATCCAGTCCCGTTCCAGTTATAAGCCAGTGAAGTCATCATTGGAATATGCCCTGCTGCACTCAAGCTCCATGCCCAAATATTTGATGTGAATAGTTTTAAAACCAACAAATGTCACAAAGAACAAACTTAATATTAGATGCTTTCTAGACCAGCATTTCTCAACCCAAATGTGAATCGCAATAGTATATAAAATGGTTGTGAACAAACTTTAAAAGTGGATCCTCTCCTTTAAAGGAGAAAAATATGGAAACCTGTGGCTTTTCCCTTGCAGGCTGGCAGAGTTCCAGCCTGCCAGGGGCTGCTTGGGGCTCCCCATGCCCTATACCCACCCCTTGCCCCGCACACTAGGGGGCTGGTGCCTGGGGACAGGGGGCAGCAAAGTGAGGGGCACTGGGTCAGGACTGGCCATTTATGTTTACAAATGGGTCCTGGTACAAAAAAGGTTGAGAGCCACTGCTCTAGACTACATTAAGTGAGACTTCTGAAAAGGGGGCATAAGTCATGGCCAAAGAAAAGTAACATCTGAGGGAATTTCACAGATGATTTGAGGACTAAGGGAGCTTTTACTGGTAAAGCAAATGCGATCAATCATTTCTGCTAGTTAACTGAAAGAACACACAAGAAGGGCTGACAAAAGGAAACCTCTCTATCAAAACATAACACAGACAAGGAAAACTTATGGGACTTAACAACAGAGGCCATGAAAGAGACACCCTAGGTTAGATGGGATGGGGAAGTATTGTTCATGCTTCATGGAATGTTTTATATACCGTGAAGAAATCTGATTCAGAGACTCTTTTGCTTACTTGCATGCGACTAACTTCAGAAGTTACAATCCATACTTTCAGAATACCAGTCACTGAAACTGCCACAACAGTATCCTCTGGGGAAAAAGTACAATAAAATGAAAGAGTATGTATATTACAAACATTACACATTTGTAAAAAAAAATGCTAAAGGTAGGACAATATTAAAGTTTATTAATAGATTCACAGAATATTTGTTCCAGATTCAGGTGATTATTTTAGAATGATCAAACCATAAGCACAGAAAACAAAACAGTAATTTCACTTTTTTTTAAAAACATACATACGTTCATTGCATACTTAGAAAGCATACTGGAAAGGAAAGAAGATCAAGAAGTGGTTCATTCTGTCCTAAGCCCTACATACACTCCAAGTTCATAATAGCTATGTCAGACGCCATCCTTAACGGCTCATGCAGATAACAAATACATTATGAGAAGCTCCATGGCATCCCAATAAGCTTTTTCAACCCAGAGCACAGAATCCTGTCCAATTATCACCTACAATCTTTTAAACTGCACCACCACTCCTAGAAGCAATTACTGTGGATGAGAGTAGAAGCCAAATCATGGGAAAGGATGTAAGGTTAACGTCTAATGTAAGACTAAGCAGTAACTCACATTCTGCAGATATCCAAAATGAAAAAGCCTCAGTTTTACAGACTGTTAAGCCTCTACCTTTCATCAACACGGTATTTGTTCACTCCCTCTTGCTCAGAGGATAACAAAGCCCAGGATTTCTGTTTTAAAAAGAACTAGATCTTGACGTTCTAAACAAACTGGGGGCAGCAGGAGGGAGGGGAGAAGCAGGCGTTTTCCTTCCACGAAAAAAAAAAAAGTTACCTTGTGTTCTGTGGGACCTAATGATACTCATAGAGCTGATCCAGTCAGGAGAAATCTTTGACACTAAAGAATACAGGACCTCAAGGCTGGTAGCATCCACAACAAGAATTTCTGGATAATGCCCATGGCATAGCAGCCTCCCTTCACGTTGAGTCCCAACTGTAAACTGATAGAACTGTGTTATTAAGAAGAGAACGCATAGTTAGATGCCACATAGGACATGAGCAAATGCATTTTGTGTATATTTTCTTAAGTTAAATTCCTAATAAACCGATCACTTAGTAAAGACCAGCTAGATGGCTATACATTTTTATTTCTTTTGAAACTGTTTCCTCCTCTACCCTAGTATGAATTGTGGTACAACATCACATTTTTAAAACAAAAGAAGTGACTGACAAAATAGTTTAACTGAATCATTTTTACAGTCCAGCTGATCCCCGTGAAGAACAGTGCTGCTGACCTGATAAAATAAAACGTTATCTCAAAAGCCAAACTAACTGCATCTATTTCAAGCTCTAAGGTATTTAATGACGCAGAAATAAAATGCAAGGTATATATTTGTACTGTTCAGTAGTTTCTAAACTGGGATCATTGAACATATGAAGATAACAGCTTTTATATTAGTAATAGATATAAAATGAAGAGCTAAATGGTTGCTCTAACATACAAATACAATCTAAAAATCTCTCAAGCATTTTAGCTTTTATGTAAATGAAGTACTAACCTGTATGCCAGTGTGTGTGCAGGCTAATTTAGTAAATTCTATGCATCTCCCATCATTCACATCCCAGAGACACATCTCCCTAAAATACAACAGGCAATTAACTCCAATTTTAGAGAAATTACATGTCTGGGTAAAGACTTGCAAATTAAAACATCATTTTGGTTGGTTGGAAAAAGGAAGTGTCATCCCAAATGTTTAGGTCGAATAAATTATTATCTTCCTTTAAAATTTCCCTCCCATTCTTAGGGACTTTTTTCAATCCATAATCATTCACAAGCCTACTTCTTCAACAAACCTTGAAGAGCTCCCACTGTGAGAAGCAAGCAGGGGCTCAGGGGCAGATTAATGCATGGGCCAGTGGGGCCAAGGCCCAGAGGCCCCTGCCAACCACGGAATCCCTGGGGTGCCAGGGGCAGCATGACCTAGGCAGGCATCCTGGCTGCGGGCATCCGGGGCAGCCAGCATGCACCTCCTTCCCCAGCTGGGCCAGGCCCAGAGGCTACGCGGGGGCGGGCGCAGGGCTCCGTGAGGGTGGCAGTGGCTTCCTGGGGCTCTCTGTTGCCAGGAGGCCCCATGAGCAGCCCCAGTCCCACTCTTCACCATTTGTGGGCCGCTGCGACAGTGCTACTGGGACAGGACATCCCGGCCCTGCCCTGCCAGGGCCGGGCAAGCAGGCAAGTGTGGTGCAGAGCCCATGCTTCCCCCGAGCCCCCAGTCTGGCCCCAGCCCTGGCCTGTCCTGCAGTGCTGGGGGACTGCAGCCCTGGCTGTTAGGCCTGTGCAAAGTAGCAAGCATTCGATTCGGATTCCGCCAATTCAGAGGGACGGTGAGTCAATTCAGTGATTTGAATCACTGTCCCGATTCAATCAAAACGGATTTGAAGATTTCACGCTGATTTGGAGATTCGGCCATAGACTAAACAGGCAGCAGTCCTCAGCCACACTGGACACAGCTGCCTCCATCTGGTAAATCTGTTGTGGTGAGTGGAGGGATGAAGGGGCCTAGAAGAGGGCAGATCAATGCCCCTCAGTGAGGGAGGGATTGGGGCTGAGACAAGCTGCCCAGCTGGGGCAGGAGGCACGGGACTCAGGGAGGGGGCCGCTGGTCTCTGAGGGCATGGGAGTGGGCGTGTGCCCCTGGATCTGCACAGGGTGAGCTGGGTCAGGCTACACACCAGGAAGTTAGCCCCAGCCACTCGTCACTGGGCTGCCCTCCACAGGGCGGGTGGAGCCAAGGCTGCGCTCCATGCAGCTAGCCCCAGGCACAGTTCTGGCTCCGCCCACCCCACAGAGTGCAGTGGAGTGGGGGCTCCAACCACCCTAAAATTCTCCATAGCTCCTGCCACCAGCCCCTCCCCAATCCGGGTGCATGCACCTGCTCCCATGCCCTGCCACTGCTCGCCCAGAAAGGCGTGGCAGGACAAAGCCATGGCTCGTCCAGGAGGCGTGGGGAGGTTGGAGCAGCTTCCGCCACTGTGTGCTGCTTCTCTGAGGCAGTGCAGCAGCACCGTCCTGCGCCTCCCCACCCTGGCTGGGTGAGCAGCAGGAGGGCATAGCCCCCGCTCCCAGTGCCTTCCACGGCTTGTCAGAAGATCAGCCCGGCCCAACCTGCTCCACGCAAATCTGGGGGCACATGTCCACTCCCATGCCCTCCCAGACTGCTAGCACGCAATGGCAGGAGCCCCCCTTCCTGAGTTCCGTGCCCCCGCAGGGCAGCTTGTCCCAGCCCCAATCCTTCCCTCATTGTGGGGGCATTGACCTGCCCCCTTCCCTCACCCCTCTGCCCACCACAACAGACTTACCAGCTGGAGGCAGCTGTGTCTAGCGTGGTTGAGGACTGCTGCCTATTTAAGTCTATGGCCGAATCTCCAAATCAGCGCCAAATCTCTCCAAATCAAATTGGAGGCTTCCAATTCAATTCAGACCTTTTAATCGGTCTCCTGAGTCAATTCGGATTTGGAGATTTGGCCCCCGAATCGGGCCAAATTTCCTCTGAATAGAATCGGCTACCAAAGCTTCGCACAGCCCTACTGACTGTGCAACACCTGCCAGATGGAGGGGCCAGGCCAAGTCAGGGCCACCTTCAACTCAGCAGTGCTCGCACCTCCTGGCTTGCCCTGGACATGCCAAGGAAGCTGGGTGGGCCAAGCCACAGCCCCCTGGCAGGTACAGAGGGAATTTGCCCTTGGTTGGTGGGGGCCCTCCAATTTTCTGTTTACCCAGGGCCCCAATAAAGCTTAACCCGCCACTGCAGAGGCTTTGCCACACTACTTTGTCTGCTTGGGTGATGGGAGCTGAGCACAAGGAGCAGTCCATCCCCCTGCCCATTTCTCACACTGGAGTTTCCAGAAAGAGCTGCAGGCGGGGAGCTTTGCCCCACTGCTGCAGTCCTTCCCAACCCAAGTTTTCCCCAGACAAGGATCACACCAATCTTGGGAAGGCACAAACAGCAAGGGAGGGAGAAGGGTGCGGTTCCAGACTAAATATCTGCTTCCTCTCCCAGAACCCACTAGAATTGTACATTTGTAAACAGCCTAGGCTATAACTGAGAAAATTGAGATGTAAAACAATTTCTGCTTTAATCCATTCTCAGTACTAAGGTCTGTGCTAAAGTAAACATTTTTTTAATGTTTAAGAACTTGTTTTAATAATAACTTGTTTCTGTGCTCAAAGAAACTGAAGGATGAATTATGCAAAATTCCCTCAAGAATAGACAGCTGCTCTTGTCAACATGACCTTTGTAAAAGCCTTTCAGGCAGATGAAAACTAACTGGAACATAGCTCAAAGAGAGATGGTGACTGTTCCTTGTGAGTCTTGAGAGATTTTGGTGGGAACAAGAGATGGGAAAATATAAATCCTCATAGTCAAATCCTTAAAGGTCAAAATCACATGGGGAAGCTAAGAATGTTACTGGAAATGGGGTAGGAAAGAAAAATAGTGTGCTGTTATAACTAAGACAAACAACTAAACTTGATATTTTCTATGAACACTGACCAAAAATAGTAGGATACTTAAATGAATAGGGTCCCCTTTTTGATCCTGACAGACTTAGGTGGGTTGAAGAAAGTGCCTCAAAGCCAGCTCCAATGTAGTGGGCCTTGGCAAGCCAGCCTAGCGAGATTAAAGGGACAGAAGCGGAGTAGGCTGAGGCCCCAGAGATAACATCCATGTAACTTCCACGAGCCACAGGCATGGTGCAGGGAAGGTTTGCAGCCACGCAATTAACCCATAAGGCTTGAGGTGTCTTGTGAGGCACCGTCTTGGAGAGGGCCCCAGCAAGGGGACCGAGGACCAGCATGGCCTAGTGGGGTTCAGTGGGACTGAGGCTCTGCAAAGGCTCGTGGGCAGCCTCCCTATTTATTATTTCTACCAAGAAGGCATGGCAGACGAGATAAGGCCCTTGGGTCAGAGCTGGCACAATCACAAAGCACTAGGGGACATCACAGCCACCCCTGGGATCCTGACCTGTTATATTAAGCTACTCTTTTAACTGTTGCCCAAGTCAGAAGCCAAAACATTGAACCTATTTTAACTATTTCCATATTACAGTATTTTTTCTTAATTTCTAGAAATTTTACCAACTTAAAATCTAGGACTAAAGTAGTTCAAATACAGGATATGCATTTTACTAATATATCACTTGATTTTGAGGTATACAATGTTTTTCTTTCCAGTTACTATACCATGATTTCTTTTAAATTGGTGCATTGCTTACATTACAGGGCAAATTTTCAGCTTGCTGCCATGTAATTTAATTGTATGACTAGAAATTCCTTTAATGCAAACAGGATTTGTGAGATTAAATCCTTCACATTTTGATGACAAATCATCCCTGTTAGCTAGTAATACACTTATTTTTACTTTATATCTGAAGTATCAGTTCCCATAATAGACAAGAAAAGCTTCAATAGTGAATGAATGTGAAATCAGTAGCAAATATGAATAAGATGATAAACTTAAGAAAATAAATGGAAAATAAATATTCGTCAGCAGAAGATGAACCCCAAAACTCTATATTAGAACTTTATCCTGGTCCTATTGAACCCACTGAGAGTGTCACCATTGACAAGCAGAGGGAAGATGAGTAAAACAGCTCCCTCTTGATAACTCTGATTTAAAGTGGTCTCCCAAAAATCAATGGATAGATGAACTGGCTATACAATGAAAGTTAAATTTGGTTTCATTGCAAAGAAAAAGCAGCAGCCACTGAAATAGGTAAAGGTGACTGCTGGCAAAAAAGTTCAAGAATCAGGTTCTCAGACTGGCTCAGAATAATATAAAACAGGTTGGACAACAGACTGGACACGGGGTCAGCAATCTACGCTCTTACTGGCACAGGGCAAATTGGTGACACAGAACTGTGCTGTGCCACCCATCCTCTCTGCTGAGCCTGCTGCTCCATACCCTTTTGCATACGCTTGATGCGGAGGCGTTAGAGATCAATGGCAAAGGTAAACTTGGGCAACTGGCTGCTCCAGGAGAGCAGAGACCTATGGTCTTCAGAGAAGGATTGGGTTGCAATGGGGTAGGCCATACGGCCAAAAGACTGCTAACCCCTGACCAGATAAAGACACTACAAGAAACAAACCTACAATGGAAAAAGATGACCCACTGTCAGTGACCTGATCTCTCTCCCATCTCTAATTTCCATTAGTTTTTATCAATCAATCAATCTGTAGGGGAAAAAAACAACAACAACAAAAACTCACCCGCCTTCAGATGCACTCACTATATACTGTTTTTCACTGGAGGCAGAGGCCTTGGACAAACAAGTAATTGAGGCTGTGTGACCAAACAACAGAGCTCTGGGATTAATCTATAATCAGAAACAAAGTATAGAGTAAGCACAGGGTATGTACTAACAAAGCACTTAATCACTTAACCGGAAAAAAAGCTTTCCAAAGGTTTAAATAAATATTACATTAGATGCACACATTTGTAGCACACGTATGGAAACAATATTTTAAAAGTGAATTATACTAGGAGTTAACTACGTGAAATGCTGGTCTGTTATGCAAGAGAACCAGTTTCCAACAGGGGCTGGATCAAAGGTATGTGTGAAAGCTTTTACTCAACTTGTTCTGCCAACATTTTGGATCACTGCCATATTTGTATATATCAAAAGGAGGGACCATGCTGTATTGCTATAAGGATTAATGCATTATTTATTAAATCAAGTCAGCATATGACTCTCTCCAAAATGAGTTTTAAAGATTAAACAAAGAAAAGCTAGATCACAATTTATGAAAGACCATCCTTAGTTCATGCCCTATAGTTATCATTTCCTTTGATAAACTACACCTCTCCCCAGTGCTTTTTTATCATAGGCACTTGCATAGCATATATCATTTCTGAGGCATGGGTTCAGAAAGCAAGCCCCTCTGAGTTTGGGAATTGCATTAATGCAGTACAGCTTCCCTAATGTATGGTACTGCTTTTGCTAGAAAATCATACTACTATTCTCCTTCACAGTTTGGGACTTTCTGCATGCAAATAAGCCACTATAAAAAACCATAGGAGCTGATTTAGGATAGACACTTGCAGCTTTCAGTTGAAAGCCAGAAATGGAAATATGCAAGCAAGCAGTCTGGTTGTAAGCAACCTGGTAGCCATCTTTCTAAGTCAGTTTCTATGGAAACTGACACTGAACAATAACAACACACAAGTATTTTTAAAAACTTTAAACACAGGTTCCTGAAATCAGGTGCCCATTTTTACTGGTGGCTACTACTGGTTTGAAGGAAACATAAGCCTATGGCTCTGGTGCCTAGAAAAATCACGAGAAGGAGGAAAACAATTACTTTAAAAATTAATTACTCTTGCTAACATTAGCTCATGTAGAAAAAGGTTTGGAAAAGCAACTGAAGGAACTGAGAACAGCTATAGTTGAGGCCAGTATTTACTTGTTCCAAAAAGTGACTAAAGGAGAAGAGAAAATGCTTCTCTCCTCCATACCTACACATTGATCGTTCATGTCAAATTGATCTAGCAGTTCTCTCCAAAGCCTAAGACCAGGAAATGAGTGATTGCAACACGTCATATTTCAGCTAGTTTCAACAATTTTCTGTGTTACATTTTTATACTTGAATTGTTTCTACAACGACAACATGTAAAATGGTGATATTCAAACTCTTAATTCTGATTGCTAGGCATGAAATTAAAAAGCATGAAATTATACAACCAGCAAACTTAGTTTTGTTCTGTTCTGTTCTATTTAATGTTTTAAAAAAAGCTTGGAACTTAAGGTAACTTCGCTAAAAACACTACAATGTAAATTAAGCTGGCTACTGGAGTACTTACAACAACCTAAACCTATTGTATCATGGTGAACTGTTCATAATGCAAAGCATTTTGGGGGAAAAAGGGAGGAGGGTAGAGATGAAAGAGCAAATGTGAAGAAAACAATTATGTGCATTCTGGAATGCACATGACCCAAAAGGATAAAGTCATTAATCAGAACTTCCGATGCACAGAGTTTCAACTCACCTCCAGATTTAATGAAAGGTCCCAGAGACATATCTGTCCATCATGGCATCCTGTGACAATCATTGACACATCATCCATTAACAGAAGGGTTGATATGCAGTGAGTGGGTGCTTTGCGACCCCAAAGGACAATAGGTAGAACAAGGCTATTTCCTGCCATTTTGCTTTCACACCTGTAAATTTCATCAAGATCATAAATACCAAAGATAAGTTTTCATACAATTGTGTCACTTGTTTTCAGTTTGCAGTTGCTTAGCCTGATTTTCAAAAAAGTCACCTTGCAATTTAAACCAGGAGAACCCCAAACCATAAATAACCTGTGCTCCTCTGTAACTCTCAGTTTTAAGAACTGAAGAAACTAGAATGGAGACAGGGTTCATTCATTTACTAGTGCGTCATTTCCTCTAAAACACCTCTTACCTGTCTCGACTGCATTTTCCATTATTTCTAGAGTCTGGAAAATAAAATTCTGAGATAGGCAAGTATAACTTGGGTCTCACAGCCCACAACACCAGCATATAAAACTACCGTGCTCCTGGAAGGCACCAAGTTAAGAATTAACTGCTCTCTTGTTGTTTAATCAGTGGCTCTCTCAATTCTCTACTCATGTTGGCATAACAGGTAGTGTACGTGACCTCTCCTGTAAAAGAGATGGGAACGTGAAGCAATTTTTAGCACTACCTTATAAGAATGTTACAGGAGTTTTTCCATAAGGAAGATATTAAAAATAGTAGTTATATCAAAGTGTGGTTTAACACTACAAATACTTTCTTATTCAGACTTGCTCCTTGTGTACTTAGTATGCAACTGAGAGTATCATTACAGTCATATTTGTTCTGTAAAATCCTTACTGTTTTTTTTTCTCATGTTATTCTTGCAACTCTAACAAAGCTATTAGAGAATATAATGGATTCTGGTTTGCACATCTTTAACATAATGTTTAACCAACTTCTAATTGAAGGCCCAGGTCTTGTATTAAAAGACAAGTGTTGCACAGTTGTAACCCAGGGGAAAATTTTACCCTTGGAACTTCATTGATGATACTGAAACATAAATTGCAAGGTGACTTTTGAATATCAGCTAACCCCAACCCCAGCTGACTATTGGCTGATTGTGGGTTGGACTCAATCTTGTGAGGTCCCTTATAGCCCCCAATGTCTATAAGCCAGAAATAACTGTCACACGTTTGCCTAATTTTAAGCTATGGACAAGCATTATATCTCTAGCAATGAATATGCCCTTTTAGGGGCACAAGAGAGAATGTACAGGCATTCAAGGGGCTCATGCTAAGAAAAATGTGGCGACCCCACCAGAAAACTTTAGCCATTTCAAACAGCAGTTTCTCCAGAGACAGAAAAAACTTTCTAGCACTGTATGCAACCCCTATAGACTTTCAATGTATATAAGGGTCCCTAGGACCACAAGTATCATAGGCCACTCACAGACGTTCCTTAAAGGCATGATGGGATCTGATCTGTGATCACAATTGCATCTCCTGCCATGAGCATCCTAAGCACAACATACTGGCAAGTGTAATCCCAGGCTCCTCCTGCACTAGTAAGTTGAAAGCAGGCAGCCAATAGTCAGCTGGGGTTGGGGACTGGCCCCAGGGCAATCCTCAGCCTCAGCTGACAAACAGCTGATTGTCAAAATGTCAGCTGGGTGACGCATGTGATTTTTATTCATCCCGGGCTGCTGCACCCTGATCCCAGGGTTTCCATGCACCAGGATGAGTAAAAGCTACATGTGCTGCCCAGCTGCGTGACATGCATAGTTTTATAGGTCCAAACATATGGGGATCTTGGGATTGGAGCGCCTCTCCCTGATCCCAGGGTCCTGTCCCACTGGGACTTTTAAAAACTGTGTGCGCAGCTGGGCTGCACATGTGCTTTTCTGACATCCCCAGAGCACAGGGACCTTAGGATTGCGGACAGGCTCCTTGATCCCAGGGCACAAGGGATGTCAGAAAATCATGCGTGCAACCCAGCTGCATGTGTGGTTTTTCAATGTCTGGGTGCAGGAAGCCCAACATGGGGGAGGGGAGGGGGAAAGGCGGCTCACCGCACCTCCCCCCACCCCCCCAACTCCACAGGTTGGGTGGAGGTCTGGGGTTCATGAACTAGTTCTACCCCCAGCCCAATTAGGTGGGGGACAGCCATGTTGTGGACCCTGGGGCTGCCCCATGCTGGAGCCTGACACTCAGCTGAGTGTTGGGATCTGTCATGAGTCAGCCCCAACCCATCACATGTTCAATTAGAGGTACAATACAAAGAAGTCAAAGTTGTTACATGTGGAATAACTGTGACTTACTGACTATATTGTCATGTCCTAAATTGATTTGAATGTGTAGCCAGTTATTATTTAAGGCACGATTAACCTATTAATCATATCTTAACTGCAATGTGCATCAGGGCCCTAGAGTCCCCCCACTCTCCTCTTCCTACTCTGAGGGGAAAGGAGTGGGAGCTCTGATAGCTTTCCCAGTATCATGCTGACAGGGAGTCCCAGCACCGTTGCCCCCTGCCTGGTCCTGCCAATCAACTTATCAGTATGCCCAGACAGGGGAGCTCTGTTAGGCTGAATTCTCAGCACTGTAACTGAATGCCTGTCCATACCCATAACAGTAATACAAGCATGGCACAAACTAAGGTCTCTGAGTTTGCCTGGCCAACAGTTAGAAGTCTATCTATAAAAACATTGCGTTACAGGTTTCCAGTCATTTTTCAAAACAGAATCACACTCGCAAAAGAACACATAATAAGGAACTACTAATTGGTCATAGATACACATTACTGTATGGCACCTTTCTTACTGCACCATCATTTGTTACTGCATGACTGTGTACGGTTATTTTTGGCCACTACGTTGCCATAGCAATGCGCTATAACGAGGGAGTATGTTGCTATGGCAATGTAGTGGCGGCATCATGGTTTTTGCCAATGGATGTTACAGCACCATAGCATCTTGTGTTGATGCGCCCTTTGTGTCTTAATTAAATTAGACTAGTCTGGGTCCATGATGATGCACTAATATCACATCACTACTACTGACCTACTATTGCAGATGCTACCTAACACCCATTTACTTTTGTGTACCTTAAACTTAGTATTTTATTAATGTGCTGTAAACATGGCAACACATTATCTGAACAAATCTTAAGCTTGTATAAATCAATGATTTCTTGGTGGCGGGAAGAAAATACCATGCATTCTAAAACACATTTAGAACGCTTAACCGAAAAATTACTTTTAGCCTTAATATTGCTACACATTTGCTCATCGCTTTGAAGTGTTTATAATCGCACGCTTGAAATCAGTCATAGTTAAATCTGGCTTAAGCCGAGTTTGTCAATTTCTTTCCAGTTCCATGGAGAGCAAAGGATTGATGTAAACAGAAGCTATCTGAACTGCATATCTCCCCTTTGGCATGGAACATGTTTAGACCAATCAAGCATGAAGTCAGTACAGAGTAAAAGTAAACTATAAATACAAGGTGTTTTGTTTTTTTTAAAACTAGACAAGAGTACACAAAAGTCATTGTAGTTCCTAATATTTTCTTCTAATTGTTAAAATGTAATAAGTACAAAATATACAAGCAAAGAAAGAGTCTGTCAGGAATGACTGACTTTCCTTATCCATTTCATTTTAGAGACAGATTCAGAGTCTCAACACTAAACTGTATTTCAGTTTAAGCTGTAACACCTTTACTAGAGCATTTAGTGGGAAAAGATGGGGAAAAAGGCTGACTGAGAAAAAGGAACTGCCTGTTGTGTTTGGAATCACCAACTTGCCAGAAGCAACCCTTGGATAGCAATCATCCTTCCTCAAAAGCTTCAGTTTTCTACATTATGATGCTTGCATCACAGAACTGGTTGCAGGAAGCACGGGTGACCAAGGTATCTGGCCACAGGCCAGATTGGGCCTGTGGAGCCATGTCATTTGGCCCGTGGGACTGCCCACAGGTCTGAAAATGTGGTGGTGGGAGAGCAGGGGCAGCATTCATTGCTATGGACCAGCCCTGTGCCACTTATCTGACCCATAGGGCCAGATAAATTGGCCATCACTGGGTTAAGCCAAGAAACGTTACAGAGCTCATTTCATTTATTAAACTTAGCTAAAAATAAGCATTCTTTAGGATGCGTTTTAGTACCTGTCATCTCATTTATGGTGAAAACAACAAAGCACATGACTAGAGAGATACAACACTATAACATTTATAAATGAATAATGGGCTGTAAGTGAACTTTCAGATATACATAAATAAAGGAAAAAGAACAGCATGAAACTTCTAAAGAGCAAATCAGATCTACCAAGTGGCAAATTTCTGTGAAGTCCAAAGCAACATAAGGAGTCAATAATTGTGAAACAGGCTTTTTTGACAGGCTGTTTCTTGTATGTGATTAGACTAAACCATACTTCTTTAAAAAAAGGTAATGAATAAAGATAATGCAAAACCAACATAAAAAGTATAATTATACATCAGAATGAGTTTTTATAGCAATATGCCTGATCAATTTTATCTTGCCTACCTATCTTGCCACTACATCATAATGTAATTTATATAATAAAAAAAACCACAACCCTAAATCCTCCAGATGTTTTCCTGTTAACTAATAAAAAGCAATATTGAAAAAGTACCCATGTGAGAGCAAGTTAATCTGAACCACTTTTGTTAACAAAACAGGTTTTCAAAGCAATATGAATAAGAGAATTGCAACAAATCACAATGCAGACGTAAACATAAGTGACTTGTATATTGGTGGAATGATTAAAAAAAAAACAAACCACTGCAGTTAATAAGATTTTCTCTATAACAGCTAATATTTATACCAAACATAACCAATAGCCACAAATACACAACTTAAAATCAGCAACAGAAGTGGAAAATCTTCCTAGTCAGGACTTACTGCAGTCCTACAATATCTGAGCTATAGTTTCACCTTCCTAAAGAACTCTCTGCCTCCCAGGAAGTCAATCCTTTACCCCAACCAATTGTAAAAGAAAAAAAAAAAAAAGGAATAAAAAGCTCAGCTGGTGCTAGTTGTGAAACCAGGTTTCTACCCATACACTCTCATACATACAAGCATACACCCCTGTCTTTTCACTTCTATGATTAGGCAGAACATTGACTCAGAAACCATACTAAAACTCTTGATTTCATGATAATTACCCAAAATTTCTGTATTGTTTGTGCAACTCAGTAAGTGGTACCTCACTGTGAAAATAATCTAGCTGCTTACAATTTTGAAGAAAAAAAATGGACATGGTAATCCCTCAATAGATAAAAGACACTGATAATCCTAAAAGGGTAGAACATTATTTTCCATAATGTACAGTATACACGCCCTTATATTTCCTTAAACCCCAAGAAACAGATAGCAGAGTCTATATTTGCAGTAACTCAGCCTTTAAGTCATTTCCTAGTATCACAGCATTTTTC